AGAGGACGAGAGAAAATGGCCTCAAGTGGGGAGGGGGGAGGTTTAGATTGGATGTAAGGAAAAATTTCTTTACTTGGTGGAACAGGCTTCCCCGGGAAGTGGTGGAGTCCCCATCCCTGGGGGTATTTAAAAGATGTGATGAGGCGCAGGTCTTTTCCAACCTCAATGATTCTATTAACCAACTCCTGCTTTTTTCATCCTTTAACTGCTTGAAATTTCAAAGACACACAAAAATATTCAGAAAATCATCAGATAACATAGAAAGTTCTTTGAAAAAGTGATATACGAAGGGAATACTTGCATACCAATATTCCTGATGAGAAAATTAAGCAACATTTTCTACAGACACCTAGATATTTACATTCAGCCTTACATATTTACTAGACCATAGAGACCACAGTAATTCATAAACAGTAGCCACTGTTTTGACACCTAAGCTTGAAGGAACTGACCATACTATACAAAAATTTGCAGTAACTTTTTCCAAGATTTTGGAAATGTTTCATTTAAGCTCCTAATAGTAGTCAGCGACAGGAAAGGTTTAAAATATTAGATTACCTCCTCCACCCTTCATCCCACAGGGAGCTTTAAGTAGTTCCAAATTTGTATAAAAGTACAGATATTGTACAGAATACAATGCAACAGAAGCAGAGGGAACAGGACAAAGAAAAGTTATGTCTTTTTAATCCCTTTTGGCTAGGGAAATAAGCATTGGAAGAAGGCACTACTTTCCCCTCCCACTGCTTCAGTAGGAAACAGAAGAGAGGACAAGCTTTGTTTGAAAAACACAAAAGGCTGACTCTTGATTTACTCAAAGCAGGAGTTTTCTCTCTCTCTCTGGATACAATGGCAAAAACATCCACCTGCTTCCCCTCTAATAAAACTTGGTCTCATGAGGCAGGTAAGGCCACGGCTCAGGCCTAAATTTTAAGTGTGCCTGTTCTGCATTCAGCAGTTTTCAGCTTAAGGTCTTCCTGAGCGAGAAATTTTATCCACGTCTTGAACGCTCCTCATCAGATTTTTCTTCCATTGATTTGTCCCTCCATTCTTTGAACATATGTAATACGGGGTTTAGGTGACAAAGAAAGCAGTTCCAAAATTAAAGACAATGATAAATCATCTTGAAGATAGTTTTCTGGTTGTTATTACAAACATGACTATACTTATATTACATTTAGTTACACATGAAACAATAGACATGACTGATGTAGTGTACAGAGTGATTCTCTAACACACACAAGTATCCTCTTTAAGTGTTTTGGAGTTTAATCCATACGCTTCTGATACATCTTCTAAAAATGTAAGCATGAACACAGAAAAGACATCATAAGCCTTCTGTCCAGATTCCAAGTATGCCCATCATTTAACTTACTAAGTGTAGAAGTGGAAAACTGCAGATGGTAGGAATGATTAAAAGCAGTAATGAGTTTTAAAACAGATCTTCTGAGTTCAATTATGCAGTATTTACCCCCCTCTCAGTTTGATGTATAGGTACTCAGCCTGCATAATCTACACAGGTATATTCAATATATTTATTAACACCTATCCAAGTGGAAATCATCCCTCATCCCTCAAAAATTGCTTAAATAGGGCAATATTGCTAAAAAGGCAATACAGGTAGAGTCTTGATCAATCTACGTATGGTATTTTTCCTGAAACTTAACAGCAGTCTTGCTACTCAGAATCTCTGCTGGTTAACATTAGGAAAAGAGAAAGTAAAATTATAGGTTTCTAAACCACCCTGTAAAAGGAAGAGCAGTTTCTTAAACACAATAAAAGGAAAAAAGGCAATACAGGTAGAGTCTTGATCAATCTACGTATGGTATTTTTCCTGAAACTTAACAGCAGTCTTGCTACTCAGAATCTCTGCTGGTTAACATTAGGAAAAGAGAAAGTAAAATTATAGGTTTCTAAACCACCCTGTAAAAGGAAGAGCAGTTTCTTAAACACAATAAAAGGAAGATAAAAGGAAGACGAGGAAAAATGTGGGCCCTCTCTGGAATGAAACGGAAGACCTGGTTACCCAGGACATGGAGAAGGCGGAGGTACTCAACGACTTTTTTGCCTCGGTCTTCACCGGCAAGTGCTCGAGCCTCACCGCCCAAGCTGCAGAAG